TAGAACACCATCACCACCTCTCCCCTTCTCAATTTGGTTTCCACAAGTGCCGCAGCACGACAGATGTCCTGGTGAACTTGGAGGTCTATATTTGTACTGCTTTTGCTGCGAAGACCTTCGTTGTTGCCGTCCTTTTTGACCTGGAAAAGGCTTACGACACCACTTGGCGATATCATATTCTATCCCAACTTCATTCTTTTGGCCTTCGTGGTCATCTCCCTCTTTCTCCGAAGCTTCCTCTCTCGTCGTTCCTTTCAGGTGTGGCTTGGTACTGCTCTCTCTGCCGTTTTTCAGCAATACGAAGGTGTGCCCCAGGGTAGTGTTCTGAGCACTACTCTTTTTATATATTGGTATAAAATATTAGAAATACTAGCACTCGTATTTCTAATATTTCTCCTTGTGTTGTTCTTTCTTTGCCCCTGTGGAGAGTCCCCCCCCTTCCGCAGTTTTGTACATCCTTAATCCGCATCACTAAAGCTTTTACCCCTTCTACAGTTCTAAAATGCCTTTTCCTTGAGCACTTTTCTACTCACTCCTGCTCCGTTTCCATCAACACCGATGGGTCTAAGTCTGCGGACGGTGAAGGCTACTCTATTGTTTTTCCTGATTGCACTTATATGAGTCGCTTACCTCTGGAGACTAGCATCTTCACAGCGGAACTTTATGCTATTCTCTATGCTCTTCGTCTCCTGCTTTCTCGTTGTCAATCTTCCTTTGTAGTTGTTGTTGACTCTCGTAGTGCCCTCATGGCTCTCGGGTCCTTTAATCCTGTCCATCCGTTGGTCATCGAGATTCAACATTGGCTGTTTCTTATCTCCATTAAATATAAATAAGTAGTTTTGCTTGGTTCCCAGTCATATTGGCATTTTTTCAAATGAGCGTGCGGATGCTGCTGCTAGGGAAGCTATCCACTCGTGTCCCATCTCCCGTAAAGGTATACCTTATTCCGACTTTTACCCAGTTATCAATTCCTCCATTCTTACCCATTGGCAGGCTTGTTGGTCTTCTGTTACTGGTCACAAACTGCATACTCTTAAGAGTTGTGTGTCCTCGTGGCCGTCCTCCTACCACTGTAACCGGCGATGGGAAACGGCTCTGGTGAGGTTGCGTATTGGCCATACTCGTTTAACTCATGGTCACTTGATGGAGTGCCGCCCTGCTCCTTATTGTCCAAATTGCATTGTCCCTCTTACGGTCGTGCATATCCTTGTTGAATGTCCTGACTTCCGGGACGAGCGTGTCTTGTTTTCCGACCGTCCCGCGCGGTCGCTTGTCTCTCGATAGTATTCTTGGTGACTCGGATACTTTTGATATCGTTCACCTTATGCGTTTCTATTCTCATATTGGCATCCTTGGTGATATTTAGCGCCCTCTGATTATTCTGCACATTTGATGGTGCTACATAGCCTTCCCGGTTTGGTGCCTTCTTTTGATAATTACTTACTTTGGTTACATTTATTAAACAGTTAATGAGCTCCGAAGCACCAGGAGGCGGTTTATAACAATAAGAACAGTTGATTGGGAAGCTTTCATGCTTGTAAACTGTTTAATAAATGTAACCAAAGCCGTCAAAGATTGAGAAAAGATATACAGGTTCGTAAGTACTTTCATAACTCCTTCGTGATTCTGTCCCCTGGTCTCTGATTCTGGCTGATAAGTACGGCAATCAGTCAGGGGAAGCACAATTGGTCACCAACCCAAGCCCGTGCTTGGGTTGGTGACCACGACAGCACATTTAAGTCTTGCTCTTGGTGTATGTTTTCCAATCTCAACACATTTCATTATCAGATTAGCTGCTCAAACAGATCGAGATAACAATCAGGAATAAATACACAACGGTATAAGGTAGACAAATAAATACACAACGATATAAGGTAGAGTGGAATAAGCACAAGGCGATAAAGAGAGAACTTAGATAAAGCAGATCCAATGAACAAATTCACAAGGGCCGTGATGAGGGTTCGAACTTACGTGCAGGATGATCCCAGACGCGCCTTAGTCGATTGCGCCACACCATGGTAAAAAGAATTGCAACCGGGAGCGCTACTGCTCTCACACGGATCCCGCAGGCTCTCCGAGTCACACACTGGGGTTTTACACAATTCCCCCCAATCATCACTTCCTCATCCCGGCCCTTGTGGATTTGTTCATTTGATGTATCATGCTATTGTGGTTTCTGTATGTAAAGCAGATCCAGTTGCAGCCACAAGCCTGGAGGTCCGTCCCATGGGCCAGTAGCCTGGAGGTCCGTCCCATGGGCCAGTAGCCTGGAGGTCCGTCCCATGGGCCAGTAGCCTGGAGGTCCGTCCCATGGGCCAGTAGCCTGGAGGTCCGTCCCATGGGCCAGTAGCCTGGAGGTCCGTCCCATGGGCCAGTAGCCTGCAGGTCCGTCCCATGGGCCAGTAGCCTGGAGGTCCGTCCCATGGGCCAGTAGCCTGGAAGCTCCTGCCAGCGGGCGTCAGTCTAGCAAATATCGTCAAGTGATTGAGGTCACAAAGCTGCAGTAATGGCACCTTCAAGTCTCCCCCGGTGCCATCCACCGGCCTCGCTCGCCTCCTCTAACTACCCGATGATCAAATTAAACGCGGTTTTATCCCAATAAAGGAAATAGGTTTTTGTACGATCATTGGGATTTATGTTGGTAACGAGCGAGCCTGGTTGGGGGATTGGCCTCTTGGAAGGGTAAACAAGTCTTATATCGAACCAAACGCCCTTGATCTTACGATGTTTCGTTATAAACACGAAGAACTTAACGGTTTCATTTCGTAAGTTAGCACTAAATTGCATAGGTAATGGGAGACAACTTTCATGGTTGACCTGTGAATGGAGGTGTTCTCAATATGGATATACTAAAGCTATACTTTTCATCATGACGTTCACAAAAAATATATAATTTACAATTGTGTTCCATTTCACACGTTCAGTGTAAAGATGTTTGCTGTTCATATAATTTATGGAGGTCCGTCCATGAATATAATTTATGAAGAAGGACATGTGTTAGGAAGGTTACAAAAGCCTAAATGTGTCGTGTCATCAACATTGTTGATGTAGTAATGATCTAACTACCAAAATAAATCAATACAAACATGATGTATAACCATACAATATACGCAGCCTAATCTCAAGCCTCGTGACATCTAGAACGATTTCTTTGAACTCTGAATAGCTTCCCGGTAAACTCATATTGAACAGTTTCCTGGTAAACTCCTGAACACTAATATTGGCAAACAATTATATATGTTGATGAGAGAAGCAGTGGTAGTGACCCGAGACTGCTGAACAAGCAACATTATATAAACCTCTCATATATCATCAGTAAAACATTTATCATTTGAAATAAATAATTGATTGATAAAGTTTTACCCACAAATAGTTACTTGATTTACATTTACAATTAATGTAAATCTGCAAAACTTAATCTCAAAGATTGTTGACCAGACCACACACTATAAAGATGAAGGGACGACGACGTTTCGGTCCGTCCTGGACCATTCTCAAGTCGATTAATCAATCTCAAAGATTCTATCCCGGAGTGTTTGTATGGTATTACATCAATATATGTAGACTTTAATGCTTTGGTAAGACAACTAGACAACTCCTGGCACGAATTACTACTCATCAAGGTAAATATATAGTGTATAACATTACGGTTGATAAGCAAACCATCGTTCTTTGAGGTTAAGGAACACTTGCGCATGCGCATGACCGCCTGTTGTGTGTCTTGAATTTCAAAATACTGGTCGGTTGTCTCCAGACCAGGAGCTAGATTCACGAAAGAACTTACGCACGCACTTACGAACCTGTACAGCTTTTCTCAATCTTTGGCGGCTTTGTTTCCAATTATTAAACAGTTAATGAGCTCCGAAACACCAGGAGGCTGTTTATAACAATAACAACAGTTGATTGGGAAGTTTTCATGCTTGTAAACTGTTTAATAAATGTAACCAAAGCCGTCAAAGATTGAGGAAAGATGTACACGTTCGTAAGTACTTGCGTAACTGCTTCGTGAATCTTGCCCCAGGAGCTGAGCGGCGCTGAGGTCTTCTTCAGGTTTCTCCTTCCTTAATACGTAAACACCGGATTCCATGTCTTTTATTGCTGTTTGTTTTTATGTTATTTATAACAAATTCGAATTGTCTCAGGATTGTCCCGTTCACATGTACCGTCCTGGTTAATTATTTTGTCACCCAAATTTGTATTATTTATGCAATGCGGATTGTAAATGTTATCATTTTTAAATGTGCTTTTGCATATTTAATATTTCTTCTGGCGTCGGTGAGTAGGCGTGATGTGAGCAGCACATTGCGTTCTTCAGGATGTACCTAAGTGTAGTAAGCTGACGGTTCGCAGGAACGGCTGCGTGACGTCAGAGAGCCGTCAAGAACGCCCAGCTGGCTTCACCCGGATACAAGATGGCGACAGATTCCCTCGTCAAAAAACACTTAATTTTCTATCAACGTTGTAGTTTTTCGCTATTTTGGACAGTATATACATAATATATTCATTGAAATGCTAATGCCAGATTCAAAAATGCCTGAGAATTCCTCTTTGAGGTCGTTAAAAACAGAAGAGCTCGTTAGCGTCCGTTTGAAATAATCTGAATTTTGCGTACGACTTTCCTCAAGTTTTCATATTATTTAGTAGTTTGAATTTTTTTTTAATATGAGCAAGTGATTTTGACAGTGAGGTTCATTATATATGGGTTTTCACACATGGAATTTGCTATATTTTTGCTAAATTAATTTGAAATTGATCATTGAAATATGATATTGTGTTTTGATGATATTACATTATAATCTCACTATATTTTTACTCACTCTTTATTTTCCTCTCTCTCTATATTCACGAAATAATCTCTGTCTTCCTCCATTCCCGTCGCCTTACTCCCTATTCGTGTTCCCCCCTCCATCCTCCTCTCCTTGGCCTCTTCCTTAGTGGCTCCTTCCTTTCCTCCACATCTCCTCCTTAAGTTAAATTTATTTTTTCTTCCTTCTCTATAGCAAATGGAACATCAGGCACGAATTCCACCAGGTGAGTCAGAGAGAGTGAGGCATAGACAGTGAGAGAGTGAGGCATAGACAGTGAGAGAGTGAGGCATAGTGAGAGAGAGTGAGGCATAGACAGTGAGAGCGAGGCATAGTGAGAGAGAGTGAGGCATAGACAGTGAGAGAGTGAGGCATAGACAGTGAGAGAGTGAGGCATAGACAGTGAGAGCGAGGCATAGTGAGAGAGAGTGAGGCATAGACAGTGAGAGAGTGAGGCATAGACAGTGAGAGAGTGAGGCATAGACAGTGAGAGAGTGAGGCATAGTGAGAGAGAGTGAGGCATAGACAGTGAGAGAGTGAGGCATAGACAGTGAGAGAGTGAGGCATAGTGAGAGAGTGAGGCATAGACAGTGAGAGCGAGGCATAGTGAGAGAGAGTGAGGCATAGACAGTGAGAGAGTGAGGCATAGACAGTGAGAGAGTGAGGCATAGACAGTGAGAGCGAGGCATAGTGAGAGAGAGTGAGGCATAGACAGTGAGAGAGTGAGGCATAGACAGTGAGAGAGTGAGGCATAGACAGTGAGAGAGTGAGGCATAGACAGTGAGAGCGAGGCATAGACAGTGAGAGCGAGGCATAGACAGTGAGAGAGTGAGGCATAGACAGTGAGAGCGAGGCATAGACAGTGAGAGAGTGAGGCATAGACAGTGAGAGAGTGAGGCATAGACAGTGAGAGCGAGGCATAGTGAGAGAGAGTGAGGCATAGACAGTGAGAGAGTGAGGCATAGACAGTGAGAGCGAGGCATAGTGAGAGAGAGTGAGGCATAGACAGTGAGAGAGTGAGGCATAGACAGTGAGAGCGAGGCATAGTGAGAGAGAGTGAGGCATAGACAGTGAGAGAGTGAGGCATAGACAGTGAGAGCGAGGCATAGTGAGAGAGAGTGAGGCATAGACAGTGAGAGAGTGAGGCATAGACAGTGAGAGCGAGGCATAGTGAGAGAGAGTGAGGCATAGACAGTGAGAGAGTGAGGCATAGACAGTGAGAGAGTGAGGCATAGACAGTGAGAGAGTGAGGCATAGACAGTGAGAGAGTGAGGCATAGACAGTGAGAGAGAGTGAGGCATAGACAGTGAGAGAGTGAGGCATAGACAGTGAGAGAGTGAGGCATAGACAGTGAGAGAGTGAGGCATAGACAGTGAGAGAGTGAGGCATAGACAGTGAGAGTGAGGCATAGACAGTGAGAGAGTGAGGCATAGACAGTGAGAGTGAGGCATAGACAGTGAGAGTGAGGCATAGACAGTGAGAGAGTGAGGCATAGACAGTGAGAGAGCGAGGCATATACAGTGAGAGAGTGAGGCATAGACAGTGAGAGCGAGGCATAGTGAGAGAGAGTGAGGCATAGACAGTGAGAGAGTGAGGCATAGACAGTGAGAGAGTGAGTCATAGACAGTGAGAGAGTGAGGCATAGACAGTGAGAGAGTGAGGCATAGACAGTGAGAGAGTGAGGCATAGACAGTGAGAGAGAGTGAGGCATAGACAGTGAGAGAGTGAGGCATAGACAGTGAGAGAGTGAGGCATAGACAGTGAGAGAGTGAGGCATAGACAGTGAGAGAGTGAGGCATAGACAGTGAGAGTGAGGCATAGACTGAGAGAGTGAGGCATAGACAGTGAGAGTGAGGCATAGACAGTGAGAGTGAGGCATAGACAGTGAGAGAGTGAGGCATAGACAGTGAGAGAGCGAGGCATAGACAGTGAGAGAGTGAGGCATAGACAGTGAGAGCGAGGCATAGACAGTGAGAGAGTGAGGCATAGACAGTGAGAGTGAGGCATAGACAGTGAGAGTGAGGCATAGACAGTGAGAGTGAGGCATAGACAGTGAGAGTGAGGCATAGACAGTGAGAGCGAGGCATAGACAGTGAGAGTGAGGCATAGACAGTGAGAGAGTGAGGCATAGACAGTGAGAGAGCGAGGCATAGACAGTGAGAGAGTGAGGCATAGACAGTGAGAGCGAGGCATAGACAGTGAGAGAGTGAGGCATAGACAGTGAGAGAGTGAGGCATAGACAGTGAGAGAGTGAGGCATAGACAGTGAGAGAGCGAGGCATAGACAGTGAGAGAGTGAGGCATAGACAGTGAGAGAGTGAGGCATAGACAGTGAGAGAGCGAGGCATAGACAGTGAGAGAGTGAGGCATAGACAGTGAGAGAGTGAGGCATAGACAGTGAGAGAGTGAGGCATAGACAGTGAGAGAGCGAGGCATAGACAGTGAGAGAGTGAGGCATAGACAGTGAGAGAGTGAGGCATAGACAGTGAGAGAGAGAGGCATAGACAGTGAGAGAGTGAGGCATAGACAGTGAGAGAGTGAGGCATAGACAGTGAGAGAGCGAGGCATAGACAGTGAGAGAGTGAGGCATAGACAGTGAGAGAGTGAGGCATAGACAGTGAGAGAGAGCGAGGCATAGACAGTGAGAGAGTGAGGCATAGACAGTGAGAGAGTGAGGCATAGACAGTGAGAGAGCGAGGCATAGACAGTGAGAGAGAGTGAGGCATAGACAGTGAGAGAGTGAGGCATAGACAGTGAGAGAGTGAGGCATAGACAGTGAGAGAGCGAGGCATAGACAGTGAGAGAGTGAGGCATAGACAGTGAGAGAGTGAGGCATAGACAGTGAGAGAGCGAGGCATAGACAGTGAGAGTGAGGCATAGACAGTGAGAGAGAGTGAGGCATAGACAGTGAGAGAGTGAGGCATAGACAGTCAGAGAGCGAGGCATAGACAGTGAGAGAGTGAGGCATAGACAGTGAGTGAGCGAGGCATAGACAGTGAGAGAGTGAGGCATAGACAGTGAGAGTGAGGCATAGACAGTGAGAGAGTGAGGCATAGACAGTGAGAGAGCGAGGCATAGACAGTGAGAGTGAGGCATAGACAGTGAGAGAGAGTGAGGCATAGACAGTGAGAGAGTGAGGCATAGACAGTGAGAGAGCGAGGCATAGACAGTGAGAGAGTGAGGCATAGACAGTGAGAGAGTGAGGCATAGACAGTGAGAGAGCGAGGCATAGACAGTGAGAGTGAGGCATAGACAGTGAGAGAGAGTGAGGCATAGACAGTGAGAGAGTGAGGCATAGACAGTCAGAGAGCGAGGCATAGACAGTGAGAGAGTGAGGCATAGACAGTGAGAGAGCGAGGCATAGACAGTGAGAGAGTGAGGCATAGACAGTGAGAGTGAGGCATAGACAGTGAGAGAGTGAGGCATAGACAGTGAGAGAGCGAGGCATAGACAGTGAGAGTGAGGCATAGACAGTGAGAGAGAGTGAGGCATAGACAGTGAGAGAGTGAGGCATAGACAGTGAGAGAGCGAGGCATAGACAGTGAGAGAGTGAGGCATAGACAGTGAGAGAGTGAGGCATAGACAGTGAGAGAGCGAGGCATAGACAGTGAGAGTGAGGCATAGCCAGTGAGAGAGAGTGAGGCATAGACAGTGAGAGAGTGAGGCATAGACAGTCAGAGAGCGAGGCATAGACAGTGAGAGAGTGAGGCATAGACAGTGAGAGAGCGAGGCATAGACAGTGAGAGAGTGAGGCATAGACAGTGAGAGAGCGAGGCATAGACAGTGAGAGTGAGGCATAGACAGTGAGAGAGAGTGAGGCATAGACAGTGAGAGAGCGAGGCATAGACAGTGAGAGAGTGAGGCATAGACAGTGAGAGAGTGAGGCATAGACAGTGAGAGAGTGAGGCATAGACAGTGAGAGAGAGTGAGGCATAGACAGTGAGAGAGTGAGGCATAGACAGTGAGAGCGAGGCATAGACAGTGAGAGAGCGAGGCATAGACAGTGAGAGCGAGGCATAGACAGTGAGAGCGAGGCATAGACAGTGAGAGCGAGGCATAGACAGTGAGAGAGAGCGAGGCATAGACAGTGAGAGAGAGCGAGGCATAGACAGTGAGAGAGAGCGAGGCATAGACAGAGAGAGTGAGGCATAGACAGTGAGAGAGTGAGGCATAGACAGTGAGAGCGAGGCATAGACAGTGAGAGCGAGGCATAGACAGTGAGAGAGTGAGGCATAGACAGTGAGAGCGAGGCATAGACAGTGAGAGCGAGGCATAGACAGTGAGAGCGAGGCATAGACAGTGAGAGAGAGCGAGGCATAGACAGTGAGAGAGAGCGAGGCATAGACAGTGAGAGAGTGAGGCATAGACAGTGAGAGAGTGAGGCATAGACAGTGAGAGCGAGGCATAGACAGTGAGAGCGAGGCATAGACAGTGAGAGCGAGGCATAGACAGTGAGAGCGAGGCATAGACAGTGAGAGAGAGCGAGGCATAGACAGTGAGAGTGAGGCATAGACAGTGAGAGAGAGCGAGGCATAGACAGTGAGAGCGAGGCATAGACAGTGAGAGCGAGGCATAGACAGTGAGAGCGAGGCATAGACAGTGAGAGCGAGGCATAGACAGTGAGAGAGAGCGAGGCATAGACAGTGAGAGAGAGCGAGGCATAGACAGTGAGAGAGTGAGGCATAGACAGTGAGAGAGTGAGGCATAGACAGTGAGAGAGAGCGAGGCATAGACAGTGAGAGAGAGTGAGGCATAGACAGTGAGAGCGAGGCATAGACAGTGAGAGAGAGCGAGGCATAGACAGTGAGAGAGTGAGGCATAGACAGTGAGAGAGTGAGGCATAGACAGTGAGAGCGAGGCATAGACAGTGAGAGAGAGCGAGGCATAGACAGTGAGAGAGTGAGGCATAGACAGTGAGAGAGTGAGGCATAGACAGTGAGAGCGAGGCATAGACAGTGAGAGAGTGAGGCATAGACAGTGAGAGAGTGAGGCATAGACAGTGAGAGCGAGGCATAGACAGTGAGAGAGAGCGAGGCATAGACAGTGAGAGAGTGAGGCATAGACAGTGAGAGCGAGGCATAGACAGTGAGAGCGAGGCATAGACAGTGAGAGCGAGGCATAGACAGTGAGAGAGAGCGAGGCATAGACAGTGAGAGAGAGCGAGGCATAGACAGTGAGAGAGAGCGAGGCATAGACAGTGAGAGAGAGCGAGGCATAGACAGTGAGA